CTCGCTCCCCCTCTCTCTCCCTCTCCCTCTCCCTCTCTCTCTACCTCTCCCTCTACCTCCCTTCCTCCCTCTCTCCCTCCTCTGCCTCTCAAATACATAAATCTTTAAAATAAAAAAAAAAAGATAGGGCCAGTGCTGTGGTGCTGTAGATTAAGCAGGCACCTGGGATGCCAGCATCCCTTATGGGCGCCAGTTTGAAACCCGGCTGCTCCACTTCTGACCCAGCTCCCTGTTGATGGCCTGGAAAAGCAGCAGAAGATGGCCCAAAATCTTGGACCCCTGCACCCATGTGGGAGACCAAGAAGAAGCTCCTGGCTCCTGACTTTGCATTGGTCCAGCTCTGGCCATTGCAGCCATTTGGGAAGTGAACCAGCAGATGGAAGACTTCCTCTCTGTCTCTACCTCTCAAGTAAATAAATGAATCTAGGGGGGAAAGAAGACTAATGATGGTGGGGCAGGCATGTGTTTGCAGGGGTTAAGTTGCCACTGAAGATGCCCACATGCCATATCAGTACCTGACTGAAGTCCTGGCGCCCCTACTTCTGATCCATCTTCCTGCTAATGTGCACTCTGGGAGGCAGATAATTGCTTAATACTTGGGTCCCTGCCACCCACATAGGAGATTGAGCTCTGGCCACTTGGCTTTGACCCATCTCAGCCCTGGCTATTACAGGCATTTAGAGAGTGAACCAGTGGATGGAAGATACCTATCTGTATATTTCCCCTCTTTCAAATATAAATTTTAGGGGTTGGCATTGATATATAGCCAGTAAAGCTGCCACCACCAGCACCAGCATCCCATATGGGCACTGATTTGAGTCCTGGCTGCTCCACTTATGATCCAGCTCCCTGCTGATGGCCTGGGAAAGCAGCAAAGGAATGCCCAAGTGCTTGGGCTCCTGTACTCACATGGGAGACTTTGAAGAACCTCCTGGCTCCTGGCTTTAGATCAGCCTAGTTGCGGTTGTTGCAGCCATTTGGAGAGTGAGCCGGCAGATGGAAGATATCTCTCTCTCTCTCTCTCTCTCTCTCTGCCCTTCCAATAAATCATATATATATATATATATATATATATATATATATAAATTCTTAAAACTTTTTTAAAAAAAGAAAAGCAAAACTATATATACAGAAAACATGGTCTTATATCTAGAAATACCTAGAGTTCTCAGAAACTGAGGTAATAAATTAAGTATAGTTGTAGAATCTAGTATGAATACTAGTAATAAATAAATGGAGGAAATTGCGTAAATAATCCATTTACAGTGGAATTGAAAAGAATGAAATGATGAGGCATTGCTGAGTCTAAATAAATGTCAAGACATCCTATGTTTCTGGATCAGAAGACTTAGTATTGTTAAAATGGTAGTATTTCCTAATGTGACAGAAAGATTCAGTGCAGTCCCTTTCAAAGTCTAAATAGCCTTTATGCACAAATAAAAAAAAAGCAAGTCTTAAAATTTGCCCTGAATTTGCAAGTACCCCAAATAAACAAGTCAGTCTTGGAAAAGGAACAAAGTACACTGTTAGGAAAAGAGTTGCAGATTGGTGCCTTCTCTCACAGGACGCCAAAATGTTAGGAAAAGCAGTGCAGAGTAGAAAGGAGGCAGTGTGCGAATTTACTGCCAGACCAAATTTATTCATAGAAAATAAATCGCCGGTGCCGTGGCTCAATAGGCTAATCCTCCACCTAGCGGCGCCAGCACACCGGGTTCTAGTCCTGGTCGGGGCACCGGATTCTGTCCCAGTTACCCCTCTTCCAGGCCAGCTCTCTGCTGTGGCCAGGGAGTGCAGTGGAGGATGGCCCAAGTGCTTGGGCCCTGCACCCCATGGGAGACCAGGAGAAGCACCTGGCTCCTGCCTTCGGATCAGTGCAGTGCGCCGGCCGCAGCACGCCAGCCGTGGCAGCCATTGGAGGGTGAACCAACGGCAAAGGAAGACCTTTCTCTCTGTCTCTCTCTCACTATCCACTCTGTCAAAAAAAAAATCTATAGAGATGGCTGACCAAGTGCCCGTGTGCCCATAATGGAACACATCCAGAAGGCCCCAATTCCAAGGGCTGGGCCTTTTTATATATTAAGAGGGTTAGGGTTGGGGAGAGGGGTAGGGTGGGGACAGCAGACAGAGGGGAATTCCTGGAACTGGTCTTTCAGGTGGCTGTAAGAGGTGGGGTGTGAAGGCAGTAGGGTTTGAAACCCAGTTGAATTTCAAGAGCAAGGAGTACATTCCAAAGTTTATCCCTTTTGGGCAGTGAGGGAGAGTGGCTGAGGCTTACGTCATTGTTCCATCATAGGTAGACTTAGAGTTCCTAATATCTAAATTTTTACTCATAGTTATCAATACTGTGGTTATGCTTCAAAGTTAAAATATAGATCAATAGTATAGGACCAAGAATACAAAAAGTAGACCATACATACATTTTTGGTCTACAAAGGTGCCAGAAACATTCAGTGGGAAAAGAACAGTCACCAACAAGTGGACTGAAACAAATGGATATGCACTTGAAAGTATAAAAGAATGAAATTGGATCTTACCTCTCATCATAGAAATAAATTCAAAATGGATCAAGACCTAAATGTAAGAGCTAAAACTACTAAACTGTAGGTGAAGACATAGGGCTAAATCTTCCAGACCTTGAATTTGTCAGTAGGTATTTAAGTATGACTCCCTAAGCAAAAAGAGAAGAGGCAAAACATATATTTCTCTAAATCAAAATTTAAAAGCTTTGTGCATTGGTCACAATCACAAAAGTGAATATATAGTTTGCCAAGTGGGAGACATTATTACAAATCTCATGTCTGATAAGGCCAAATGTCCAGAATATAAGAAGGAATGTTTACAATTAATTAAGAAGAATATGGGGGCCAATGCTTTGGTGCATCAGGTTAAGCCATGGCCTACAGTGCTGACATCCCATATGGACACTGGTTCAAGTCCTGGCTGCTCCACTTCCAATCCAGCTCGCTGCTAATGTGCCTGGGAAAGCAGCAAAGGATGGCCCCAAGTCGTTGGGTCCCTGCCACCCACATGGGAATCCCCAAAAAAGCTCCAGGCTTCTAGCTGTGACCTGGCCCATCCCTGGCCATTGTGGCCCTCTGGGGAGTGAACCAGCAGATGGATGATGTCTCTCTCTATCCCTCCCTCCCTCCCCTTCTCTCTCTCTCTGTAACTCTGCCTTTCAGATAAATCTTTCATTAAAAAAAAGTGTGTGTATATATATATAAGCTAGTTTAAAAATGGTTAGAGAGCCTTAATAGACATTCATCCATTGTTATGCAAGTAGCCAACATTTTATTAAATTATTCAGTGATATGCATCATTAGTGAAATGCAAAAATGAAAAAGATATCACTTCATACCCTCTGGGATAGCTATAATAAAAGAGAAAATAAGTAGTACTAGTAAAGATATGGTAAAATTGGAATCTTGACTCATTGTACTTTTTTAGAGAAGGAGAGGCAAAGAAAAGAGAGATGTCTTCCATCCACTGGTTCACACCCCTAATCAGCTGCAATGGCCAGAGCTGGGCCGATCCAAAGCCAGGACCCAGGAGCTTCTTCCAGGTCTCGCACATGGCTGCAGGGGCCCAAGGACTTGGGACATCTTCTGCTGCTTTCCCAGGCCATAGCAGAGAACTGGACCAGAAGTGGAATAGCCGGGTCTCGAACCGGCACCCATATAGGATGCTGCAGGCAGCGGCCCCAGATATATTGTACTTGTAAAATGGTATAGCCACTGTAGGATACAAGTTGGTAGATCCTCAAAAAGTTATACCACATGGCCCAGCACTTCCCGTATGGGGTATGTAACCAAAAGAATAGAAAATTGTTATTAAATACATGAGGCTGGCACTGTGGTGTAGTAGGCTAAGCCTACATTGTAGCTTAATGGGTTCAGCAACCACCTGTGATGCCAGCATCCCTCTGGGTGCCAGTTCAAGCATGGACTCCTCCACTTCTGATCCAGCTCCCCACTAATGTGCCCAGGAAACAGTGGAAGGTGGCCTAAGTTCTTGGGCTCCTGCCACTCACATGGGAAACGCGGATGAAACTCCTGGTTCCTGGTCATTTGAGGAATGAACCAGCAAATGGAAGATCTCTCTCTTCTCACTCTGTAACTCTGCCTTTAAAATAAATAAATAAATGGTTTTTTTAAAAAAAAATACTTGTACAAGATTGTTCATATCACTATACACAATAGCCAAAAGGTAGAAACAAACCAAATCTCCATCAGTGAATGAACAAATAAAATCTGATACAGCCATACAATGGAATATTATTCAGCTTCAAAAAGGAATATAGTACTGATACACTTCATGGATAAATCTCAGAAACAGTGAAAGAAGCCAGACACAAAATGTCACGTATTTCATATGCAGAGACAAGGATTAATGGTTTCCAGAGACAGGGTAGAAAGAATGGGCAAGTGACTGCTCATGAGTACAGAGTTTGTTTTAGAAGTGGTAAAATAACTTTTGGACTAGACAGAGGTGATATTGTCAATATTGTGAATTTTCTAAAACCTACTGACTTGTACCTCTTGAAATGGCAAATTTTATGTTAATTCCACCTCAGTTTAAGAAAAACGACTATGTAAATGCTTGGATTATTTTTTTAAAGATTTTATTTATTTATTTGAGAGATAGAGTTACAGATAGTGAGGAGGAGAGACAGAAAAGACTTCTATCCACTGGTTCATTCCCCAAATGACCACAACAGCAGGAGCTGGGCTGATCAGGAGCTTCTTCCGGATCTCCCATGTGGGTGCAGGGGCCCAAACATGTGGGCCATCTTCTGCTTTCCCAGGCCATAGCAGAGAACTGGATCAGAAGAGAAGCAGTTGGGGCTAGAATTGGTGCCCATATGGGATGCCAGTGCCACAGGCGGAGGATTAACCTACTGAGCCACAGAGCCAGCCATAAGATTATTTTATACTTCTCTGATTCTGAGTAAAAATAAGAATTCTGTCATATCCATTTGGTGAGATATGTTTTCATTTCAGGAACTATTTACTTTCAAGGATGTGGCCATTGAATTCTCTCAGGAGGAGTGGGAATGCCTGGGCCCTGCTCAGCGGAATTTGTATAGGGATGTGATGTTGGAGAACTACAAGAACCTGCTCTTCTTGGATGAGAACAACTTCCCTCCGGAAGTCGGTAACTGCCCATGTGTATCTTGGCATTTTCTCCCTTGTGAGTCTTGGGAACTCGTAGCTTGTGTGTCTAAGTTTACATTTCATAATGGAAAGGCTTCATAATGTGGACTCTACACTTTAAACTTCCCTGCTCTTAGAAATTCTGCGCATCTTAAGTTTGATTAGTGATGTTTCTAGAACATTAGAAGTCCTAAAACCTTTTGGCAACCTTAACATCTGAGCCTGTGGCTTTCCTCTTGTACTATTGATTCAGTAGTTTCTTGAAAAACAGCTAGTTATTTGCATATTCAAAATAATCACTAGGCATTCAGAGGATAAATGTCAGTTGACTAATTTATGAAATCGTTTTCTAGACCCATCTGTACTTTCTTTTTTTTATTTTCACAGTTTTTTTTTTTTTTTTTTTAAGATTTTATTTATTTTTTTGAGAGGTAGAATTAGACAGTGAGAGGGAGAGACAGAGAGAAAGGTCTTCCGTCCGCTGGTTCGCTGCCCAAATGGCCGCAATGGCCGGAGCTGTGCCGATTTGAAGCCAGGAGCCAGGAGGTTCTTCCAGGTCTTCCCACGCAGGTGCAGGGGCCCAAGCACCTGGGTCATCTTCTGCTGCTTTTCCAGGCCATAGCAGACTGTGCCCTCTTCTTAGCCAAAAAAAAAGGCCTGGGAACATTTTCTGGAATAGCAGAGTGTATCACGTTCTTTTTTTTTTTTTTTTCGTCAGTTGAAATCTTTCCACAGCTGAATATTAGCTCCCATTGTGGAGCAAGGAAAAGAGGCCTGGACTATAGCGAACAAGATGAAAATAGTGAAAAATCCAGGTAGATGGGGACATAATTATGAGCTCAGATATAGAGGAAGTTGCCTCATTAAATATTGTTTGAGAAGCTACTCAAATAGGAAACATTTGTAGCAAAACAAAACTTCATTTCTTGTGAGGTTTCAAGAAAGCTCCTCTATACACACACACTCGGGCAGTCACTCACTGTTACTATTTTATTATTCAAAGGCATCTCTGGATTAGACCTGTTGAATTCTTTAAGTAGGGAATTTTTGATACCTTGAAAATACACTTTTTAAAAAAATTATTTTTTTATGAGACGTAGAATTACAGACAGAGGGATGGAGAGACAGAGAGGTCTTCCATCCACTGACTCCCTCCCCAGATGGTCGCAATAGCTAGAGCTGAGGGAATCTAAAGCCAGGGGAGCTTCTTCCAGGTCTGCCACTTGGGTGCAGGGGCCCAAGCATTTGGGCCATCTTCCACTGTTTTCCCCAGGCCATACACAGAGAGCTGGATCGGAAGTGGACGAGCCAGGACATGAACTGGCTCCCAGATGGGATGCCAGTGTCACAGGCAGGGTCTTAGCCTACTGCACCATGCTGTGTCATACAAGCCTTTCAGTGCTCTGTGACATTGAGTAATATCCTTTTTTTAAAAAAAGATTTATTTTATTTATTTGAAAGAGTTACAGAGAAAGGTAGAGAGAGAGAGAGGTCTTCCATCCACTGGTTCACTCTCCAAATGGCCACAACAGCCAGAGCTGCGCCGATCCGAAGCCAGGAGCCAGGAGCTTCTGCTGGGTCTCCTACATAGGTGCAGGGGCCCAAGGACTTGGGCCATCTTCTGCTTTCCCAGGCCATAGCAGAGAGCTGGAGCAGAAGAGGAGCAGCCGGGACTAGAACTGGCATCCATATGGGATGCCAGCACTTCAGGCCGGGGCTTTAACTTGCTGCGCCACAGCGCTGACCCCATGCCCTTTTAATGGTTCTGTTTTCTGATGGTCATTGCAAAGTCAAAATTCATGACTTTTAGAAAAGTGTACATTAATTTCCATTGAGTCATAATATCTACATATTAGGGACTGGCGCTGTGGCATAGTGGGTAAGGCTGCTGCCTGCAGTGCCAACATCCCATGTGGGTACCAATTCAAGCCCCAGCTGCTTCACTTCAGATCCAGCTCTGCTATGACATGAAAAAGCAGTAGAGGATGGCCCAAGTCCTTGGGCCCTGCACCCACGTGGGAGACCTGGAGGAAGCTCCTGGCTCCTCGCTTCAGATCTGCTCAGCTCTTGCCATTGCAGCCATTTGGAGAGTGAACCTGCGGATGGAAGACCTCTTTGTCTTTCTGCCTCTGCCTCTCTGTAGCTCTGCCTTTCAAATACATGTCTTTTAAAAAATTACGTATCAACTAACACATATAATAAGAGCATTCCTCTCTTCCTAGCTCTTATGTAGCTGGGATTTTGATGCAAAAGATCTAAAGATAGATTTCAAATATTAAAGAAGACCAGAAAAAGAGGTTCTGCTGTTTTTGTATAACAAACAAGGACACCTAGAGTGAAAAAGAAAGTTAACATTCCCATTTCTGATTTAAAAATACGTGATTTAGCTTGTAATGTTTTTGTTTTTTCTAGCTTGGAAGGCTTTGATTTTTTTTTTTTTATTTACCAAATTTATCATATCCTCAGACAGTTTAGATCTTGGAAAAAGCCTCCTACTTACTTTGTTGTCTGCTGTACAACCTCTCTGTCCCCTGGAGAGATCAGCATCTTAGACTCATGTTCACTCTCCATTGCTAGACCCTTGATAAGGTTTCATTTTATCTGAATGTGTCCATAGAGTGAATTCATCCATTATCCTTCAAGCCTTTCCCAACATAGGAGAATGAGAGAATGATAGACATTTCCAGGTTTTTGTTTTGGGGTCCTGCTAAAGACATTCTTTTAAAAAAATTTATTTATTTGAAAGGCAGAGTTACAAAGAAGGAGACACTGAGAGAGAGGTCTTCCATCTACTGGTTCGCACCCCAAATGGCTGCAACAACGGTGACTGTGCCAGGCTGAGGCCAGGAGCCAGGGGCATCTTCCAGATCTCACATGAGTGGCAGCAACCCATGGTCATGGGCAGTCTTCTGATTTCCCACGCACATTAGCAGGGAGCTGGATCAGAAGTGGAGCACCCAAGACCTGAACCGATGCCCATATGGGATGCTGGCACTGCTGGCCATGGCCCACTCCACTGCACCACAGCACCAGCCCCAAGAACATCCTTGTGTGTTAATGGAACATACACTCACACACATAGTTTATGCCTCACTTGAGGATGTGCCTCAAAATGGAGGTTCTGAGACAGTCACTGGGTAAGGGTGAAACGACCACATAATAGATATAAGCTTGCAGTCTTCCTAACGTATTGCATCCCCTCTATTTTTAATGTCTTCTACTTTTACTCACTGTTGAGATTGTAGTTCACAGAATGGGTGTTAAATCACTTGCTGACCGGCGCCATGGCTCACTAGGCTAATCCTCTGCCTGCGGCGCCAGCACCCCGGATTCTAGTCCTGGTCCAGGTGCCGGATTCTGTCCCGGTTGCCCCTCTTCCAGTCCAGCTCTCTGCTGTGGCCCGGGAGTGCAGTGGAGGATGGCCAAGTCCTTGGGCCCTGCAGCCGCATGGGAGACCAGGAGAAGCACTGGCTTCTGACTTCGGATCAGCTCGGTGCGCCGGCCACAGCAGCCATTGGAGGGTGAACCAACGGTAAAGGAAGACCTTTCTCTCTGTCTCTCTCTCTCACTGTCCACTCTGCCTGTCCAAAAAAAAAAAAAAAAAAACTTGCTAACTCAGTTTCTCTGGTTTCCCAAGATTAAGAGTTTTAACTGCCTTAGCACAGTCCTATTCCTATAAATCAGCGAGCATGAACTCTGCTCCTATAGCTGCTTACTCTTTGCCTTCACTTCTGCTCTTCGAAATCCCAGCACTGGTCTTCCCACAGATTTCTCACTGATCTAGTTGGACTATGCTGGTAGTTCCTAGTATATGAGTTTGAACATCTCAGGAACCCTGTTTACACCAGACTTGGACCTCTCTGCACTGCACACACTGTGGTAAAGACCTTCCTCCTACATAGGACAGCTCACTCAGGATAGAAACATGATCTGCTCACGGTCTACATCAACATGTGCAAGATAGGGTGACTCAGATCCTGTAGTCTGGGGGACATGGCACCATTGCACTGTAAGTGACACAGCGGAGGTCCTCTGTCTCCCTTGAAATGTGTCTCCCTGGGTTCCTGCTATTTCTTTTGGCATTTTTTAACCTACTGAAGGACAGTATTGCATAATTAATGCTATGAACATGGCAGCTGAGCTTTCACATCTAGGTTCAAATAAAATTTATTTGTTTATTTGAAAAGCAGAGTTACAGAGAGAGTAGGAGAGAGAGAGAGAGAGATCTTCCATCCAGTGGTTCACTTCCCAAATGGCCACATAGCCCAAGCTGGGCTGGTCTGAAGCCACAAGCCAAGAACTTCTTCCTGGTCTCCCACATGGATGCAGGGGCCCAAGCACTTGGGCCATCTTACACTGTGTTCCCAGACCATGAGCAGGGAGCTGGATTGGAAGGGGAGCAGCCAGGACTTAAACCAGCACCCATAGAGAATGCTGGCACCATAACCAGTATGCCACAGTGCTGGTCCCCAAATCTAGTTTTCAGATTTTCTTTATCTGAGTTATGAAGAAACCTCATGAGCTTTTTATTTTTATATGAAAAATTGTGATGTACCTCAAGAATGTCTAAAAAAGTTAATCCAGTCAGAGGGCTTCATACATTGCATGGCATGTAGTATGGATTAAAAAGTTATCTTCAGTTAATAAAGTGAGTCAGCTTTCTGTCGTGTTTCTTATGAGAGTGTCCTTTAGCTGAATTATATGTCATGTTTTATTTTGTAATTTGTTCCATATAAATCTTCTTTGACCATACATAAATATAATATATATTTGGCCATAGTTAGGAACTTGCATATTTACTTATTGTCATATAATATAGGCTTAACATTATTTCAAACTGCCTTCCATAATTCTCAATCTATATAATAATCTGTATTTACCTGAAACTGATATTTCAAAATTCAGTGATTTTTCAACTCCTCTGCAATACAAGTTCTTTCATTAGTTCTTCAGCAGGAATTCTTTCGAATTCCACAGTGATAGTTTTATGAGATTATGATTACTTACTAACTTGCATAGTAGATTTCCATAGGTCATTGAGTATTTTCTGTATCCTTTATAGGTGATTTTCTCAGTACATATTGTGCAGTACTTGCCATACAAAAATGTCACAAAGTGTTCGTTCTATGTGCATTCATGTAGTTTCATAAGTGTTCAGATTTACAGTGTTGTAAAAAACAGGGTGTTTTTTCAGTTCTTCCTGATGTCCCCCTGCACGATTTTTCTTTAAATTACAAATTTACTTTTTTAAAATATTTTTATTTGATAAATCTGGACCATGCTTTAGTTTTTACTTTTATGTAATAATTATGCACTAAATACATTATTTTTTTTCTCTTTAAATATGATACAGATGTACTTATGCCAGTTGCTGTGTTCTTTGTGGCAGCAGTAGAAAAATATTCCTTCTTCCAGGGTTTAAGTGAATTTGTGTAGGATGACTATTTGGCTGACAAGAAGTTTGCATTATACCCTCCCTAAAATAAGTTTGAATTACGTATTTCATTACTTTATTGAGGACTCCTATTCTGTTTGTATTCCTAACATTTGAAGACCATGCTTGGAAAAGTTCATAGCACTGTTCATTATAAATATTTGTCTGGTAACATGTATTTTAATATAAAATATGTATTTTCCAACCTTATTTAATGGGGAGCCTCTGGTTCTTTCTGTGTTTCAGATATTTCTTCTGAATTCGCAAACAAGAGATTATCACTGAAAGAAGCTATGAATAAAGGGAAATTATACCATCCGGTGGTCTTGGAAGGAAATGAAAGTCATAGCATCAAAACTCTTGATCTCAAGGATTCCTGGAAAAATATGCAGGAGTGTGACAGCCAGTGTGAACATGATGAAAGAAATCACAGAGCAGTGCCTTTGACTTATAGCAAAAATCTCAGTCATAGAAAAGATCAACAGCATAGTAAATCCTCCATTAATTTTCCACTAAAGCATAGTGTTTCCATAAGGGACTGTGCATACCAGTATTTCTTACATGACAAGCCATGTATGAGGAATGTGCTAAAACTGAAAAGTAACTTCAGTTATACCAGAGACAAGTATGTGAAGTGTTTTGAAAATAGGATGGGATTAAGCTTGCAGGCACATCAGATTGAAGTACCTAGGTTTCAAAATGAGAAAACTTACGAATGTCATCAGGTTCAAAAGTCTGTCAACAATGGTTCTTCAGTTTCACTACGTCAAAGACTTTGTCCTAATGTCAAAAACATCTGTAATAAGCATAGGAGGATTTTAAAATACCCTTTATTACCACAATATGGGGTAACACACACCAGAGAAAAATCTTACAAGTGTCATGACTGTGAAAAGGTGTTTAGCAAAAGTTCAAACCTCACTAATCATCGGAGAATTCATTCTGGACAGAAACCTTACAAATGTAATGAATGTGGCAAAGCCTTTAATCAGTGTTCAAACCTCAGTAGGCATCGAAGAGTCCATACAGGAGAGAAGCCATATAAATGTAACATATGTGGTAAGGTCTATAGCCAGAATTCAAACCTTGCCAGTCATCAGAGAATGCATACTGGAGAGAAGCCTTACAAATGTCAGGAATGTGGTAAGGGTTTTATCCAGCGCTCACACCTTTGGGGTCATGAGAGAATTCATACTGGAGAGAAGCCTTACAAATGTCACGAATGTGGCAGAGCCTTTGCTGAGCGTTCGAGCCTCATTCAACATAAGAGAATCCATACTGGAGAGAAGCCTTACGTGTGTAATGAGTGTGGCAAAGCTTTTAAGCAGTGTTCACACCTCACTAGACATCAGAATGTACATCCTGGAGAGAAACCACACAAATGTAATGTGTGTGGCAAGGCTTTTATTCAAAATTCAAGCCTCGTGGAGCATCAGAGAATTCACACAGGAGAAAAACCTTACAAATGTGACAGATGTGATAAAGCTTTTATCAAGCGTTCACACCTTTGGGGTCATCAACGAACTCATACCGGAGAGAAGCCACACAAATGTGATGAATGTGGCAAAGCCTTTGCTGAGCGTTCAAACCTTACTCAACATAAGAAAATCCATACTGGAGAGAAACCTTATAAATGTAATGAGTGTGGGAAAGCTTTCACCCAATTTGCCAATCTTAATAGACATCAAAAGATACATACTGAAAAACATTGTAAACATAATGTATGTGGCAGTGTTTTTGTTCAAAGCTCAAAACTTGGGGATTGTCAGGGAATTCACAGAGACAAACATAAGGGAAGCATTCAAGTCCCGCTCAATGACAGAGACTTGTTATGAAGAGAAATGGTGTAAAAGTATGTTGTGAAGCTCCTAACCAGGGTTTTGTGCCTCACTTGATAGGAATACACCTTCAGAATACCACACAAATACATTTGGCAAAGCATATCCAAAGTTCAAGGCTTGCGGAATAGCATAAAATGTTTACTAGAAGAAAAAGGCTTGCTAATGTAATGAATGTTATGAACTTACTAAAAAATATATATACCTTTGTGGTCGTAAGAAAATTCTTAAAAGATGGACACTACAAATGTGCTGAACATAGGAAAACCTTTAACCAGTGGTCTGACATCAGGGTACACCAAAGAATTCAGACTGCAGAGAATCCAAACAGTTCTCTCAACTACACATAAGGAAATTGATAACTAGGGAGAACTAAGTCTCCATTCTTGAAGATTAACTGACCTCAGTTGTTGATTCTACAGATAATTGAAAAGTTAAAATCAGTTAGCTTAAAGCAGTGGAAACACCAGTGAAAAGATCTAAGGTTTATAAAAATATTTCAGAAATTATTTGAGGTTTCTTGAAAATGATTCTTTATTGAAGAATTAGAACTTGAAGTTTGAAATCTGTTGATGTTGTACCTTCATTACATGCTTTTTTTTTTTTTTTTTTCCTAATCACCCTGATTGTCTTAAGGACAGAATTGGAGAAATAGAAGGGGCTATATCCTTAGCATACTGTAACCTGAAAAAACCCAGGATGCTATTTTTAAGATACTACAACATATATTTTTGAGTCTGAAGGGTGACAGGGTAAAACTTGAATACATTGTTGTACTTTATATGACCAAGACCCCTTCCTAGATTTGTTGAAAAGTCTAAGGACCTCTATTGATTATAGGAAAGATAATATTACAAGATGATCAGGAAACAAAAAAGAGGCTAGAGCATTGATAGAATGAAATTCTCATAGGAATAAAATAACAGAAAACTAGGAACTGCTTATCTGGTAAGTATGTATGGGAGGAGGGTGACAGTCACCTTCCCCTTTAAAAGGTAATAGGTGTTAAATATGGAAAATAGGTCCTGATTTTGGAAAGTGAACAAAAGTATGGAGGACAATTTAATCAACCAGAACATACTTGTAGAGGATTCACATGTGGCCACTGAAATTGTATTTTGATACCATTTAGAATATGTCATAATTCTCATGTCACAGTAAGATGTAACTTTTAATGCTGAATGAGCCATGTTCATTTTATCAACCTAAGCATATCCCACTTACTTGGGACACTTCATAATGAGTTATGATATATCATTACACTCTAAGGTTTAGTGTCGCATGATAATGTCCACATTATATTCATACAGTATGCAATTTTGGTACTGTTCACAATTTGCACTTCAGTCATTCTGTACTCTGATTCAGATTGCTCCCATGATTAAAATACTATGGTAGTGCAAAAGCTGAGCCCCTAAAACCTGCCTCATTAGTGAATATTTACCAGATGATTGTATTTCTACATGCCTTTTTGTAAGAATGGCTTGCATATTATTTTAAATGTAGTGAAAAAGTGATTGTAAGCATATGAAGTTTATTAACAAAAGAAAATTTCAGGAATAAAGAGCACAATGTTATATTTGTACTTGAAGCAATGAGTGAAATAATCTGGAAAGACCAGTGTCATGAGTTTCCTCTTAACAAAAAAACATGGGATTTTTGGAAGCTAAATGCTTGATATGCTTACCACCAAAACATTTTTGTTAGTTTTCACTTGTGGCCGTTTCACTGGGACAGAATGGGACCTCACACAAGGTTTAGATTTGAAGATTGATGATGTCATACACTTTAAATGTTATCAGAATGTTTTACTACTTGGAGCTTTCTTGGGAAAACAAGGCAGACTTTTCAAGCTCCTTCAAAAGTGGATATAGAGTGTGGAAAAGAAAACTGTCTTGGATGTTAAGATGGTTACCTGGCAGGACTGGAATGAGAGTACTTCTATGGTTTGAATTTCCAGCTGGTGCCAAAATAGATAGAACTGACAGTAAAATCTTTGAAGTGTACAATAGAATGTATTGTAATGTTAGTACCTTGTTAGCTTCGTTGCTGATTAATATTCCTTGGTTTATTTTTCCATTCATCAATTGTTGGAGCTTTGAGTTTTCCCACTTTTTAAAATTATGAGAGATGCTGCTATGAAGAACTTTTTACAAAATGTTTTTGCCAATATATGTTTTTACTTCTCTTGGGTATGTTTTTAAGTGGAGTTTCTGGGACATATGGTAATTCTATGATTATCTTTATGGAACTGCCACTATTCCAAAGGAGCTGAACCATTTTATATTACAATTCCTGCACTTTTCTCATCAACTCTTATTGCTTGTTGCTGTGTAATTATTAATATTAGTGATAGTATAGCCTTATAGTCACTTTGAAATGATATTTCATTGTGGTTGGATTTGCATGTCTTCATGTCTAATAATGTTGCACATTTGTTCAAGTGTTTATTGGTCATTTGTATCAGCTTTGGAAAATTTCCATTCAAATCCACCAATTTTCTAAGTTGAGTTGTTTGTGTTATATTTAGGTTGCTGAACCTTTATGACATATTTAATTTATGAATAATTTCCCCACTTCTGTATATTCTTTTTCTACCTTCTCAATAGCAATCTTAATTTTGATGAAGTGAAATTTTGTGTACTTTTGGCTTCCTGTGTTTTTGGTGCCCTGTGTAAAAACCATGGCCTAACCCAATGTCATGAAAGTTCAATTTATTCTGTTTTATAGGTTTAGTTGTTGTTTTTTTGTTGGTTTGTTTGTTTGTTTGTTTTGGACAGGCAGAATGGACAGTGAGAGAGAAAGACAGACAGAAGGGTCTTCCTTTTCCGTTGGTTCTCCCTCCAGTGGCCGCTGTGGCCGGCGCACCGCACTGATCCGAAGCCAGGAGCCAGGTGCTTCTCCTGGTCTCCCATGGGGTGCAGGGCCCAAGCACTTGGCCATCCTCCACTGCACTCCCGGGCCACAGCAGGGAGCTGGACTGGCAGAGGAGCAACCAGGACAGACTCTGGTGCCCGGACTGGGACTAGAACCCAGTGTGCCAGCACCGCAGGCAGAGGATTAGCCTATTGAGCCACGGCACCAGCCAGGTTTAGTTTTTAAATTTCAGTATTTGATCCATTTTGAGTCAAATTTTATTTAAGGTGTGGAGCTGTGCAGCTTCATTCTCTTGCATGTGGATTTTCATTTGTCCATGCTATTAAATGTTTTTAAGCATCAGAGCTCATTAATTAGATGCAGACTGTTAGAATGTTATTAAAATAACTCATTGAAATTAAATGATAGGATAACCCATTGGGCCAGGATCAATGGTGATTGTGATGATTAAACTTTGAAGACATGGAAGTAACATTCTACATTGTGTTAGTTTGCATTTGTTCAAGAAAGCACAGTAGCCCCCTGTTACCCACAGTTTTATTTTTGCGCTTTCAGTTACCTGCAGTCATATTCTGAGTATTAAGTGGAAAATTCCAGAAATAATTCATACATTTTAAATTGGGTGTTTCTCTGAAATCTCATGCTGTCCTGCCCAGGATGTGAGGCATCCCTTTTTCCAACGTATCACAGAAGCATTTGTGATATGTGTAAGAAAACTACAGTGAAATAAGATTAGAAAGAAACCATCTTTGCATAACTTACTTATATTTTTCTCTTAGTTTAAATATTAACATGCTATGTCTATTTTATAAATTAAGCCACCTCATAGTTGTGATATATAGGGAGAATAGTATACATGGGTTTGATACCATCCATGATTTCAGGCATTCACTGCAGGTCTTGGGATATATCCCTCATATATAAGGGTTGATTACTGTAAGATAATTAAGAATTTTCAGGTTAAGACAAATTTTGAAGGTGCTTACACAGTGAAATGTGTAGAATACCCCTAGAGAATATCAGGGAAATAATTGTGGCAATAATAAAGCCTGAGGATTGTTGAGGAAACACCTCATGGTGATGTCTAAGAAGTAACTGCTTCTCGCTGTTTGGGGTGAGGATTAGTGAGCAAGCCTAGGAAGTGTGCTTCTGCTCACTAGTTCTGAAATTTATGCCTTCTTTATTTGTGCCTTCCAAGTTCCATTCAAGGTTTTTCTGATAGGCCAACTAACCTGAATAGTGCAGCAAAGGATCTTTAGGAAAGCAGGTCCTAGAACTGGAGTGCAGTGGTGGTGAAGGCACATGGATGAGAGCTGGTGAGGTTCAGGAAAGTAACAGAGACATTTGCCTTAAAATAGGAGATGTTTTTTAACACTGGGAATTTAAGTAGGCACCTAGTGTACTCATTCAGTTATACTGGATAACTGTAGTATTACTGTTTCTTTAAGAAAACTGGTAAGGAGGTAGGTGTGTGGCCTAGGGGTTAAGTCTGTGGTCAGGGTGACTATCCCATATCACAGTGCCTGAGTTTGAGTCCCAGCTCTGTTCCCAATTCCAGCTTCCTGTTAATGCACACCCTGGAGACACCAAATTAAGTGATGACTCAAGCAGTTGGATTCCTTCCCCACCATGGGAGACCTGGATTGAGTTGCCAGCTCATAGCTTTGACCTGGCCGGGCCCCAGCAGTTAAGGGTGGTTTTGGGGAATGAACCAGTAGAAGGAAGCTTGCTCTCCCCTCTCCCTCTGTGTGTGTGTCTCAGTCTGTCCCGAATGTATTTAAATAGAGTGACAACGATAGCTCTTTCTTCCTCCATGGACCCTGCTTAAAGGCACTGCTCTTGTTTTCTTTATACCGGGGAATATGCTGACATCCCACCCTCATCTCTTTCCATGGCTCAGACTGGTCTCAGATGGACCTCTCCTCAGAGGTAGCATTTTCAGTTTTATTCTCTCATGTATGGGCCACTCTGACCCACTCACATTGGGTGTTTGTGTGGTGGGCCACACAGACATCAATGTGTGTGTATTCCCTTACTGTTGAATAAATTCTGTTCCTATTTGTGCGCACACACACACACAAAGTAACATGAACAAAGGGCATACTGTGAATATCTAT